TTTAAAAATATATTTATATGTTGAAATTTTTAAATTAAATTTTATAAAAATAAATATTAATCCATTTTTAAATATTTAATAATTTAAAAAATTAATATTAGATAATATTTAATAATTTTAAAAATTAATATAAGATAATATTTAATATTTTTGAATATCTAATAATTAAAAGAATGAAGAGATAAGATAAAATATATAGGTGAAATAAGAAAAACAAATATGAGGAATTTCAAATTCTCCCATTTTTTAGAGAATTTGAAATTCTACTATTTTAAAGAATTTTACAAATGCTTGAATTTCAAATTCTTTGTAAATTTTTCATCCAAACAAAGCATTTCATCTCAAGAAATTTGAAATTCTTCAAATAAATGAATTACCCTATATAAATTTCTCATCCAAACACACTATGAATTTTAGAAATTCCTTGAATTTTAGAAATGACTTATCCAAATACAACATAAGTGTGATTCTATGTGATATGTGGTCCATGGGAAGAAGTTCTTCTACTCATGGAATTCTTTTCATGAAAATTGTTTTTGAAATCATCCATGAAAGCCAAATCCATGGTCAAGAGAGCGTACATCTTGACTATCGAAAAAGAATAATAAAAAAAGATGTTTAGAGCAAAACGATAATATATGGATTCTTTGGTATTGTCTTAAATTTTCTTTTTATTAGGAGGAATTATTACACTAATGACAATGAAGATGAAGCCTGAATTCACTTGTATATTTAGTAAATACTAGAGGTAAGTATCGGTCGAGTTGTGTCGAGTATATCCTTGTTCAAATTTGACCTAATATTTTAATCAAACCATTTTTTAAAACCTAAACTCGATCTGACTAAGACTAAAAAGATATATGAAACAAGGTCTAATTAACCTAATTTTGATATTAATTTTAACAATATGTAAAATTAAATTATAAATTAAAAGAAGTGTAAAATTCAAATTCAAGTGTCGTTTATAATATATTTTTAAAATAAATAATTTTATTATAAATATAATATCATGTTATAAAAAAGAGTAGGGATACATGTTTTAAATCAAATTTTAACAATTCAACTGTTAAATTAAAATTTTTAATGTACAAATCAAGTTTTTTTTATATTTTTTTTAAATGTAAAATTATTTAATATTTTATTTTATTAATTCAAATCATTTAATATTTTATTTTATTAATTCAAATCAATATAAATATTTATATGGTAATTCATTAATTTGTTGGTTTAACATAATTTTTTTTTAGTTCCTATATGTTACAAATAAAAAATTAACTGCATGAATTAAAATAATTAAAAAATTACAAATATTAAAACTAAAAACTATAGATACCAAATAAAGTTAATAAAGATAAGTATAAAAATTTAAAAAAAAAATATTTTAAATTAACCAAATTTAAATCACAAACAATCATTTCGGACATCACCACGGTGGAGTTCCCCACCCAATTCTTCTGCCATGACATAACAAACTCTGGTTTAAAATAGATCGTAACAGTAAGCACTGATTGAACTTGAGCGCTTCAAGGTTCAACATGGTGTCTCTCAGCCTCTCCTCGCAACAACAACGCTCTTCAAATCCGCGTTCCACTCCCATCTCCACTTTCACTTCCCACCTTAGGTGCATTCCCCTAACTCCCTCTCTTTCCTCTCCCTTTTCATTTTTCTCACAACCCCCTTCCAACCTTCAGGTACTTTTTTCGCGACCACACCGCAAGACCCACGTCACGAAACGCAAGCAAAACCGCCAAAACGGTGGCCGATCTCATCAACTCCAAGCCCTGGTCCGACACCTTGCTCTCTTCTATCCCCACCCCTCTCTCCAAAACCACCGTCCTCCGAACCCTCCGCCAACTCCACCACCCCTCCAAGGCCCTCTGCTTCTTCAACTGGGCCCACCAAACGGGCTTCCCCCACCAGGCCCAGTCTTACTTCGCCATGCTCCAGATCCTGGGCCGCCAGCGGAACCTCAACGCGGCCCGAAACTTCCTCTTCTCCATCGAGAAAAAGTCCAACGGAACGATCAAGCTCGAGGCCCGCTTCTTCAATAGCCTCATTAGAAGCTACGCCGAAGCGGGCCTCTTCAAAGAGTCCATGAAACTCTTCCACGCCATGAAGTTCGTTCCCGTGTCCCCCTCCGTGGTTACCTTCAACACCGTTTTATCCGTTTTGCTCCGACGGGGTCGCACCAATATGGCCAAGGACGTGTATGATGAAATGCTTCGCACGTTTGGCGTTGCTCCGGACACGTGTACCTACAATGTTTTGATCAGAGGGTTTTGCAAGAACAACATGGTTGATGAAGGGTTTAGGTTCTTCAAGGAGATGGCGCGTTTCGATTGCGATCCGGATGTTGTTACTTATAACACGCTTGTTGATGGTTTGTGCAGAGCGGGGAAGGTGGGGATTGCAAGGAATTTGGTGAATGGTATGAGCAAGAAATGCGAGGGTTTGAAATTGAATCCTAATGTTGTTACTTATACTACTTTGATTCGAGGGTATTGTATGAAGCAAGAAGTTGATGAGGCATTGGTTGTTCTTGAAGAGATGAGTAGTCGGGGCGTTGAGGTGAACATGGTTACGTATAATACTTTGATCAAAGGGCTTTGTGAGGCAGGCAAATTGGATAAGATGAAGGATGTTTTGGAACGGATGAAAGAAGATGGAGGGTTTAGCCCTGATACATTTACCTTTAATACGATTATTCATTCACATTGTTGTGCAGGGAATCTGGATGAAGCTTTGAAGGTGTTTGAAAACATGAAAAAGTTTCGGGTCCCGGTGGATTCGGCCTCGTACAGCACTCTGATTCGGAGTTTGTGTAAGAAAGGGGACTATGATATGGCAGAGATGCTGTTCGATGAGTTGTTTGAGAAGGAAATTTTGTTAAGCAAGTTTGGCTCTAAGCCGCTTGCTGCTTCTTATAGTCTTATTTTTCAGTTTTTGTGTGAAAATGGGAAGACTAAGAAGGCGGAGAGGGTGATTCGGCAGCTGATGAGAAGGGGAACACAAGATCCCCAATCATACCAGACAGTGATTATGGGGCACTGTAAAGAAGGTGCATACGAAAGGGGATATGAGCTTTTGGTGTGGATGCTAAGAAGGGACTTTCTTCCTGATGTTGAGATATATGATTATTTGATTGATGGTTTTCTTCAGACGGATAAGCCTCTGCTTGCAAAAGAGACACTAGAGAAAATGCTAAAGAGCTCCTATCAACCGAAAACATCTACCTGGCATTCTATATTGGCAAAACTTTTGGAAAAGAGTTGTGCTCATGAGTCTGCCAGTGTTATTGTCATGATGCTGGAGAAAAATGTTAGACAGAATATAAACCTGTCAACTGAGAGTTTACAGCTACTTTTTGGACGTGGACAGCATGAAAGAGCATTTGAGATTATCGATTTGATTTATAAGAATGGATACCGTGTTAAAGTAGAAGAAGTGGTTCAATTTGTTTGCAAGAGAGGAAAGCTATCAGAGGCATGCAAACTGTTGCTTTTTAGTTTGAAAAACCATCAGAATGTTGATACTGATTTGTGTAATGAAATTATTCTGAACCTTTGTAAAATTCACAAGGTTTCAGAAGCATTTAGTTTATTCTATGAATTGGTGGAGCACGGCTTACATCAGAAGTTGACATGTCTAAGTGATCTGATAGTTGCCTTAGAGGATGGGGGAAGAATAGAGGAAGCTGCATTTATATCAAAGAGAATACCAAGACCAGAGAACTTAGATGGGATCTATGCCAAATCATAGCTCTAAGAAGTTCAGGTCTAATAAAGCGTAAGTCATGTTCCCTGCTTTTTCTTTAGTCTGTTTTCATCTTTTCCATTTTGATTGTTGAAAGTTAAAGTTATAAGCTTTCTACAGGTGGAAAGATGATCTATATTTCATCAAGTAGAATATTTTAATTTGATGTACAAGTGATTGGATACCTGCAGCATTCATATTGTTTTGCCAGATTGTCAGGACATTTCTATCAAGTCTGTTCAGAAAGTCCCATCATTGCCGGAATTTTATATTTTGAAACTAAGTAGTGTTAGTTTTATGTTTTACTGGACTTTGATTTTGCCTTTGCTAGACTAACTCATTGAAGATCTTCTGTCTTATGGTTGATATTCATGTTTTAATCAGTTTATCATATGATATATAAAAAAGAATAAAAGGAAATTGAAACATCTCATATTTTCTTAAAGGTGATGCTTAATGTTGCATCATCACTCCTTACCTGATGTAACAAGTCGTATTACCTGATTAAAATATTAATTTTTTGAACCCTTCATTTATAGTTTATTTTAGGCTAAAATATAATTTTTGTCACTCATCTGAATTTTTTATTTTAGTCTGGTCCCTAAATTTAGAAAGCTTCACTTTGATTCTTTAAGGTGCCTGTTGGACAAAATTGGTTCTTTTAGTTTTTTTCACCAACCTTGTTAATTTTGGTTGATGTGGGACACGCCCATCTGACATTGCATCTCATACGGTTTGTCACCAAGTTATTGTTATAAAAAAATAAACTGAGAGAAGGACTAATTTGATCTATCGGAGACACTTTTAAGGGGTCAAAATGAAAATTTTTAAACTTGGAGAGCAAATCGAAACAAAAAAATTCAGATAAGACTGTAAGAAATCAAAATTATATTTTAGCCTTTATTTTATTTCTAGCCACAATTCATGTTTTTTCTTTTTCTATTTTTTATCAGGGTGACCAATGACTTTTCCAGCTTAGGAAAGGTGCAGCACAAGCACCCAAACACCCAAGTATTTCATTGACAAGTCAGCGGCAACTGCAACCAAAAATTACCATAACACTAAGGGGTTGATGCACATGATGGCAGCTTATGCAGATCTAATGGTGTACTGCTGCAGCTTGCTTGGATATGGTGGTGTGTGGTGGCTGCTCATACAGATGTGGATGTCATAACAGAATAGTCCTGACGATTTGGTGAGTCTGATATATATGACATATTTTGCTGATTCAGAGTCATGTAAACTTCAGTGGATTTTTATGTACTTGTTGGCTGAAATCGGTCTTTCAATAGTGAGAAATAGACATCTTTGATTAATTATTGATCATGGATGTAATGCGTAATTGCTAACAGTAATATCTTACATTAGGCTGGTTCCTTTGCCTTTTACTTATTATTAGGTTTGACCCAAGTGTTAGAAGAACTACATTTTCATAGGTTGGACATCTGCCAGTCTGTTCTCTGTTTTGCCTGATGTATGAGATTCTGGGGCCCGAAGTTTAGTTTGTTTAACTGAATCTGCACCGAATTCTATGTTAACTGTGAACATGAAAACTGAGGACATCAATCTCAACATTGCTCTTCCCCAAGTTCTATTCGTGATGGACTCATTCTGTATGGATGAAAAGCAATGAGATTTGCTGCACAGTTTGTGAACTAGTGATACCAGCTTATAGCGTGGAATCTTGTTTCCCTGAGGCACATTCAAACAATATATTAATCGGTGAAGAAAATTTGTGTCTAGGTATGTTGAAAGGGGTAAAGAATGTTGAACTGAATGTATGAAAAATCTTCACTGGGTTATCATTAGACTAGGGTATTGACATTTTTTACTTAAATTTTACTTTTAGACCATGATATATCTGAAACTTAGGCAACAGTCTGATACTATTTTCTACTTTTAGATGCTTAGGTCTATCTGATGGAAATATGTCAAGACTAAGAAAATCAAGAGGTGATACATTAAAGGAACCAAGAGGAATGAGATGATTTTGAAAACCTTTTAAATGTTTGTAAATGTAGTAGTTATTTGTATAGGTTTATTTTGTCTTTGTATTTGTGAGACACTTTGTTTCCTTTTTATAGATCATTGTATAATGAATTTAGAGTAGGTTCTTTGAAGACTTTTACTCCATTTGACCTTGTATTAAAGGTCATTCATTTTTACTTTTTTAGTCGTAGAAGTGGGATGACAAATAGCAAGGCTTGAAGGTGTGTTTAGCAATTGGGCCAAGATTGAGCCAAGACAAAATTTTACATATTAAATTTGTTTTGCTCCATATTTTTTCAAGGATTTGATTTAACTAGGTCTCACCATTTTTTGATAGACCTAATTAAACCAAATCAACAATTTTTGAAACGGACCAAGTGAGCAAACAAGCCCAAGGCCGCCTAGCCTACTTCCTTGGCCGAACTTGTTTCTACCTTTGGAGTCTTTGCGAAGCTTGTGCTACAAACTTCTAACTTAGCTTGCTTTTCAAGCAAGCTAAGATAGAAGCTTGCTCCACAAGCCTCCTAAACTAAGGTGGACGGTCAAGCTAAGCCTACCATGGTTCACTTGAACCATGGTTAAGCTTAACTTCCTCCACAAGCTACATACTTCTATATATTTTTAAACCTCTCATTTGTACATACTTTGGATATATAAAATCAAAATTTTCTCTTAAAATTTTCTCTTCCAAAGCCTCTCAAATCCGTGGAGAAGTTCTCTCTACCTAGGACCTTCACAAAGGAGTTCCTCCTTTGTGCCTTGGTTCCTTAATCTTCTTGCTTCCTTGAGAAGTAACCGAGCATTCCTTGTTGCATCTTCCATCAATGGAGTTCTCACATTGCTTCTGCCATTAAAGAGTCTACCTCAAGAGAAGAAAGACTTGAAGATGGAGTCTAGAAGAAGATATCTATCACTTCTTCCATTTGGTTCTATCATTTTTGGTATCTAGAGCCTTGGTGCTCTTGAGGTTATGTTTTCTTTTCTCTAAAATTGTTTCCGTCTTGTCTACATCTTCCTTTAAATGTCTTGATTGTGTTTGTTGTAAGGATCTAGTTTTTCCACATATTTTTGATGGATCCACATGTCACATTAATTGATTGATTCATTAGTCTTGCTTGTTCCTTTGTTATTGAATCAATTTCGGTTTTACCTTAGGTTTCTTTGTGCTTGTGCTTTTTAATTTTGTTTGAGTCTTGCCTATGCCATAAAAATGAATCCGTGATTGGATATTAATATTGAATAACATGTGTTTTGGTTTTTAATCATGTGTTTTATCTAGAGTCGTGTGTAGTCCTTTACATGTCATTAATTCCTAGACTAGCTTGTTGAACCTTTGATTTTTGTATTGTTTTGTGTCAATATTTGGTTTGGTTTTGCTTTTTAATCTTCTAGCTGACCTATATGTGCTTTTATTTTACATAATTGAGTTCTTAATTTGCTATTAGTTCTAACAAATTTCTTAGAGTTAGGTTTCTTTTATGTCTTCTAAAAGTTTGTCAAAAATTGCCTAAACTACTACTTGCTTCCCTAGGTTTTCCTTGAATCTCTTGTGTGGCTGAAACTTGTGCTTATTTTGAAGTGTCTAAAACAGAGGTATTAAGTGTCTCAAAGTGTAAGAAAATTTAAAGAAAAGTGTGCTTAAAAATTGTTTGAAGTTTGTGCAAAAAAAATTGTGAGCACTAGTATCACAAGACACTTGTATACCTCTTTGTTATTAAAATGTTTGGCAGCAATTTTCCTTATTAAATCCGAGACTCTCTCATTGTTTTAAAAGGCATTAACTCCTGTTTGTGTGAAAGACAAAGAAAAGAAAAAAGATACAAAAGAAATTACAAAAGAAAGAATACAAGAAAAAACCAAAGGAGTAGAAAATTTTGCTATATATTGCTCTCGGTTTTTGCTTATTGTTGCATCTTAGATTTTAATTAAGCAACCTGTGAGCGACCTGATTCATTAAGCATGAACAGGTGTCAAAAAAAAGTTTCAATGCAGAGGTTCAATGGAGAAGAAGAAAGCAGAACACAAATACATAAACGAATAAAACCTCAAATAGAGATTACAATCTTCTCAAGGAGCCAACCCCAAGGGTTTTAGCCTTCCATTCATCAGAAATGAAAACGAAAATGCAAGGAAGAAGGAGAAGAAAATGAAACTAATAATCTGTATTCCTTCAACAAAAATGCAGTCTCAAAATACAACCAGCAAAACCAAACGTTACTGGGAGCAAAAACGTGAAGAAAAATAGAGAGTAGAAAAACTGAGAGGAAGCAAAACGTAAAATAACAAAAGGAAGCCAGCCCCCAAACGTGGTCACATCAGAATGTTTATGTTAGTGGCTGCCAAGTCAGCCCTAACCTAGACTCCTATGACCTAAAACGAAATTGGGCCCCCATCTGGATGTGTTTGGCCCGAAAATGAATAATAGAAGGTTAACAAAAATGTAAGTATGTTGCTGATGTGGTGCTGACATGGTAGATGACGTGGCAGCTCCTCTTGAAGTCCAGAAATTAATTCCAAGCCCAGATAATTATTAAACTGTACTGAAAATACAAATTGGAATAATTAGATTCAAAAAATTCAAATTAGTGAAAATATGAATTACCGGTCCAAGTAAAACCCAAATAGAAAATAGTGCAGAATATCAACAATTAATCACAAATCAGAGATTAAAATAAGTACATAAAGGTAAGAAAATAAGGGAAAATAATGACTCATCATGGAGCTACTACCCTACAAGGACCTAAATGATTTGGTCTATCTTTGTGTAAGGGTAGAACAACAAATGTTGTTAAAATCTTCTAAAAAAGAAAGCTCCTTCTCTAGATCTCATAAGAAAGACTACATGGAGGAGAGAAGTCCTTTGGAAAAGAAAAATATTTTAGAACCCTTCAAGGAACTAGCTAAGAATAAGGATAAGAACAAAGAGAAGGGTAAAGGTACCAACACTCCACACACTAGCACAAAGACTAGTGATATAAAATGTTTCAAGTGTCTAGGGAGAGGCTACATTGCTTTTCAATGCCCTACAAAGAAAGTTATGATTTTAAGGAGGCATGGCACTTATAGTAGTCAAGAAGAGACTACTACCTCTTCTTCAAGTGAGAGTGAGGATGAAAAAATGCAACAAGTGTCCAAAGTGGAGTTAGTTTATCCTTATGAAGGAGAACTCCTAATGCTTAGGAGACTCCTTAATAGTCAACCTAGTGGTACTCTATCTCAAAGAGAGAACATTTTTTATACTAGATGTAATGTTTTAAATAAAGCATGTTTATGACTCCTACTACCTTAGTTGTTTTAATAAAGCACCCAATTTTTGGACTATATTATTCGTTGGATACAACATATGAGGCTCCTTTTGACACTTTCTTCTAATAACTATCTAACAAATAATATACTCCAAAATTGCTTAGGAAATTTTTTAGTTGTATTTTCCTTATTTTCTAGGGAATGCCTAGGTTACCACATGGGGTACTTTGAAGTTAGATGAAAAACACATAGAAGGAGGGGTTGAATATGTATGTATGTGAACAAAGGAATTTTAAAAACGTTTTCACAAGAAGGCTCTTTTTCGTCCAGTAAAATAATATTAGTGAACGCTAAACTAGAACTGCCTAAGCATTAGACAAAGTTTTCTGTATATTAAATCAACCAAATAAAAGTGCGTCTGGAACACAAAAGTAGTGCAAGTATTTTTATACTGGTTCGCTGAAACTGAGCTACGTCCAGTCTCCTTCAAATGAAGGGTTCCACTAGATGTTCAAAGAAGTACAAGTATTGTTTGTTCAACCTCTTCAGGCTTGTAGTGAGTATTATAGACCACCCCGATCATGACCACTCCTCGTCGGCCAACTTCATTCATTAGTCCTAGTATTCTTTAATCAACCTATTCAGGCTAGTAGTGAGTATTCTATACTACCCAAGTCACGACCACTCCTGGTTCGTCAACTTCACTCATCGACGCTAGTATTCTTTGCTCAGTCACTTCTGGCTCTCAATGAGTATTATCGACTAAATACTGGCCCGCTAGCTTCACAACTAGTGCTAGTATTCTTTGTTCAGCCACTTCTGGCTCTCAGTGAGTATTTTTGACCAACTCCTAGCTCGCTAACTTCACCATTAGTGCTAGTATTCTTTAATCAGCCACTTTTGGGTCGTAGTGAGTATTTTCTGACAAGCCTCTACAAGCTTTTACAAGTATTCTTTTCCTAGCCTCTTCAAGCTTTACAAATGATAAATATATAGGTTTGGTTTGAGTGTTTGGCTTACTCTCACATAGAGGATACATGAGTTGAATACACTCACTAAGGTTCATGTTCCTAAGATGCACTTAGAACTCCTTAGTCTACAGAGATGAATACATTATGGTACATTTGACTCTATACGCTCTATCTCTGATTATATTGCTTCATGGGCTGGATATCACCCTTTTTCTAGCTTGAACCAGTCTAAGCCAAACAACCAACCTTTCTAGGTTTGAAGTTGTGACATATATATAGTCTTGTAAAATTTATCCGTTGCAAGTGTCCGTTGAAGCGGATATAGTCGTTCATGACTGGGTTAATCTTTCATTTAATGCTCAGGATCTTGCATTAAATGTTGCTTCCTGTTCATAGACATTGCATGAAGTATTTTTTGCCTTGTTAGCAGCAGTGTCTGAATTTAGCAGAGACCTAGGAACATTTTTGTCCTTTTCTGGTCGCGTAGCTGCAGAGCGTTGTCTTTATCTGAAAAAGTAATGTACTTTTTCTGACACATGTATGCTTTTTCTTTTGCGTGATTTTCTTCTTCTTCTTTCATCACGCTATCATGTTGAGAGCATTTAGGTGATTGTAGACGATGCCTGAGTAGTCTTTTAAGGCTTGATTCTTTAATTGCTTTCATGGCAATCTTTGTTTGTGTCTGTTGGTCCATGTGCGTCTCAAGTCTTGATCTTCATCTAAGCATTTGACGTTGATGCTTTGACTTTCTTTTGGTTTGGTCAACATGATAAATGGACAGACTTTGTTTTCGTCTAGAATATTTTTTAGTCTGTGTTGTCCTTTATCTGATGTGTAGTTGACTTTATGATCTTTGACCAATTGCTTCATCTGATTTCTTATGTTATGCTTGAGGTTGTCTTTGACATACCTTAGTTTGATATTCACTTGGCTTGGTTTGTTTGATTCTCATGGTGTGCTTTTGCTTTGACTGTTCTTCGTCTATGTTAAAGCTATTCATCGAGGTTTGAGCATTTTCTTTCTTATGCTAGGCTTGGCTTCTTTTCCTTTTTGTTTTAACTTGCCTGTACTTATGTTTTTTCTGAAACACGAACACATTTGTTAGTAATAATAACATATTATATTTGTCTCATTCAAAACCTTGTTGAGAATTACTTCGTTTGACTCAACATACTTTAGGCAAGATGTTCTAGTTGTTAGGATTAAGTCTTTAGGATGTTATAGTCTTAGTTTTAGCGTATTTTTAAGGTTTAGGAACATATATAGACTTTGTTTAGGAGAGAATCCTATTCATTATTCTAGAAGGTCTAGTGTCATGAATTTCTTTATTAGGTTCTATGAAAGGATTCCTCTTAGGATATGCCTTTCACATTTATTGATTGAGAATGTCACCTCTTATGAATTGTATTATATATTTGTAGGTATGGATGACCATCATGAAGACTCTCGAGATTTGAGGTCAAATCCTTTTTAAGAAGGAGGAGATGATGGAAATATGTCAAGGCTAAGGAAACCAAGCTGTAATACATTAAAGGAACCAAAAGGAATGAGATGATTTGGAAGACCTTTCAAATGTTTGTAAATATAGTAGTTACTTGTATATGTTTATTTTGCCTTTGTATTTGTGAGGCACTTTGTTTCCCTTTTATAGATCATTGTATAATGAATTTAGAGTAAGTTCTTTGGAGACTTTTACTCCATTTGACCTTGTATTAAAGGTCATTCATTTTTTACTTTTTCAGTAGTAGATATGGGGTGGTAAGTAGCAAGGCTCGAGGATGTGTTTAGCAATTGGGTCAGAATTAGGCCTAGGCAAAATTTTACATATTGAACTTGGTTTGCTCCATGATTTTTCAAGGATTTGATTTAGCTAGGTCTCGCTATTTTTGGATGGACCTAACTAAACCAAATCAACAATTTTTGAAATGGACTAAGTGAGCAAACAAGCCCAAGGCCACCTAGCCTACTTCCTTGGCCAAACTTGCTTCTACCTTTGGAGTCTTTGGGAAGCTTGTGTTACAAGCTTCTAACTTAGCTTGCTTTCCAAGCAAGCTAAGATAGAAGCTTGTTCCACAAGCCTCCTAAACTAAGGTGGACGGTCAAGCTAAGCCTACCTTGATTCACTTGAACCATGATTAAGCTTAGCTTCCTCCACAAGCTAACTACTTCTATATATTTATAAACCTCTCATTTGTACATACTTTGGATATATGAAATCAGAATTTTCTCTTAAAATTCTTTCTTCCGAGGCCTCTCAAATCCGTGGAGAAGTTCTCTCTACCTAGGACCTTCACAAAGGAGTTCCTCCTTTGTGCCTTAGTTCCTTAATTTTCTTGCTTCCTTGAGAAGTAACCGAGCATTCCTTGTTGCGTCTTCCATCAATGGAGTTCTCACATTGCTTCTGCCATTAAAGAGTCTACCTCAAGAGAAGAAGGACTTGAAGATGGAGTCTAGAAGAAGCTATCTATCACTTCTTCCATTTGGTTCCATCACTATCATTGAGAATGGTGGTGAGAATTTTGAAGATTACATTGAAGACATATATGGAGGAGTTTCTTGGCAAAAGAAAATGACTTGCACACGTCTTTTGAAATATTAATCATGGATGTTTGATGGAATCATGATTTGGAATGCAAGAGGTGACATACTAAAAGATCCAAGAGGAGTGGGCTAGACATGAAGGATTGGGCCAGTCAAGGCCCAATGGGCCTGATAGGTTTGAAATGACCATTCTTCTTATGTTTTATTATAGAATAGGAAGTTACTTTGTTTTTGGTCTTGTATTTTGACCATAGATTAGGGTTTGTGAACTTTGGACTTGTAATTGGGCTTCATGGGCTGTTGGGCTTTTGATACCCAATATTGGGCTCATTCTATTTATTGTAATTTTTCATATTAATTGTATTTATTTGAAAATTGTATTTAGGTCATTAGATTAGGATTTAAGGAGGATTATTAGTTTA